TACCTAACCTTAAATTATTGTTTGGAGCTACAAGTTTTTTCTTTATTGGTTTGTTTCTGTACTAAGAGAACAATTATTGGTTTGCTTCCTTTTCTGTTTAATTTCTATGTTGCATTGTGGCTCTCCATATCTTGTGTTTATTGTGTTAGTTTATTTAGTAGTTTATCAATTATAAGGGGAGCGGGTAGTACGGGTACCCGTAATACCCAAACGGGTATTAACGGGTAACCCGCGGGTACCCATTGTTGAACATGTTGATCCCATGTCCCATCCCGTAAAAAATATTACGGGTATTTGGGTACCCGTAACCCTCAAAAAACGTGACGGGTATGGGTATACCCAAATACCCGTTTCCCATTGCCCACCTCTAGCCTCGGCCTGATTCAGTGATATGCAGCCTCCAGAATCGAAAGAAAATGGCATTTCGGAAAAATCGCCTGAAATCTGTGATGGTACCCCCTTTGGAATATGCCAAAAATTGACCCGGAATAAATCCGCCATAATCCGTGCTTAATGGACTTAATCATCGTTGAAAAATAGACTCAGTCCGAATCAGTGATCTGTAGCCTTGAAAATCCAAAGAAAATGGCCTTTCGTCGCCCAAAAAATTAAGAAAATGTCATCCGAAAATAAATTGGCCCAAATCAGTGCTTAATGGACTTATCATCCGTTGAGAATAGGATCAATAGACTTCATTATCGGTGGAGAACACCCTCGGCCTGATTCAGTGAATAGCAGCCTCCAAAATCGAAAGAAATTTGCGTTACGGAAAAATCGACCGAAATCTGTGATGGTACCCCTTTGGAATATGCCAAAACTTAACACTAAATAAATCCTCCCAAATCTTTCCTGAATGGACTTAAACATCGTTGAAGAGTATCCTCAGGCCAAATCCGTGATCTGTACCCTTCAAAACCAAAGAAAATGGCCTTTCGTCGCCCAAAAAATTACGAAAATGCCATCCGAAAATAAATTGGCCCATATCGTTGCTTAATGGACTTATCATACGTGGAGAATAGGATCAATATACTTCATTATCGGTGGAGAATAGCCTCGGCCTTATTCTGTGATCTGCAGCATCTAGAATCGAAAGAAAATGGCATTTCGAAAAAATCGCATGAAATCTCCTATGGTACCCCTTTGGAATCTTTCCAATATTGTCCCGGAATAAATCCTTCCAAATCGGTGCTTATTGGACTTAATCATTGTTGAAGAATAGCCTCAAGACGAATCTGTGATCTGTAGCCTTCAAAATCCAAAGAAAATGGTCTATCATCGACCAAAAAATTACGAAAATATCATCCAAAAATAAATTGGCCCAAATCAGTCCGTAATTGACTTATCATTCATGGAGAATAAGATCAATCAACTTCATTATCTGTGGAGAATATCCTCGGCCTGATTCAGTGATATGCAGCCTCCAGAATCGAAAGAAAATGGCATTTCGGAAAAATCGCCCGAAATCTGTGATGGTACCCCCTTTGGAATATGCCAAAAGTTGACCCGGAATAAATCCGCCTTAATCGGTGCTTAATGGACTTAATCATATTTGAAGAATAGCCTCAGGCCGAATCCGTGATCTGTAGCCTTGAAAATCCAAAGAAAATGGCCTTTCGTCGCCCTAAAAATTACGAAAATGTCATCCGGAAATAAATTGGCTCAAATCGGTGCTTAGTGAAATTATCATCCATGGAGAATAGTATCAAAAGACTTATTTATCAGTGAAGAACAGCCTCGGCCTGATTCAGTGATTTGCAAACTCTAGAATCGAGAAAAAATGGCATTTCGGAAAAATCTCCTGAAATCTGTGATGATATACCCCTTTGGAATATGCCAAAAATTTACCCAGAATAAATCCGCCCAAATCGGTGCTTAATGGACTTAATCATCGTTGAAGAATAGCCTCAGGACAAATCCGTGATCTGTAGCCTTCAAAATCCAAAGAAAATGGCCTATCGTCGCCCAAAAAATTAAGAAAATGTCATCCGAAAATAAATTGGCCCAAATCAGTGCTTAATTGACTTATCATCCATTGAGAATAGGATCAATAGACTTCATTATCGGTGGAGAACACCCTCGGCCTGATTTAGTGATCAGCAGCCTCCAAAATCTAAAGAAATTTGCATTTCGGAAAAATCGACCGAAATCTGTGATGGTACCCCTTTGCAATATGCCAAAACTTGACCCTGAATAAATCCGCCCAAATCTTTGCTTAATGTACTTAAACATCGTTGAAGAGTAGCCTCAGGCCGAATCCGTGATCTGTACCCTTCAAAATCCAAAGAAAATGGTCTTTCGTCGCCCAAAAAATAACGAAAATGCCATCCGAAAATAAATTGGCCCATATCGTTGCTTAATGGACTTATCATACGTGGAGAATAGGATCAATAGACTTCATTATCGGTGGAGAATAGCCTCGGCCTTATTCTGTGATCTGCAGCATCCAGAATTGAAAGAAAATGGCATTTCTAAAAAATCGCATGAAACCTGTGATGGTACCCCTTTGGAATCTGTCAAATATTGACCCGAAATAAATCCTCCCAAATCGGTGCTTAATGGACTTAATCATCGTTGAAGAATAGCCTCAAGACGAATCTGTGATCTGTACCCTTCAAAATCAAAATAAAATGGTCTTTTGTCGACCAAAAAATTACGAAAATGTCATCCAAAAATAAATTGGCCCAAATCAGTGCTTAATGGACTTATCATCCGTGGAGAATAAGATCAATCGACCTCATTATCGGTGGAGAATTGCCTCGGCCTGATTCGGTGATATGCAGCCTCCAGAATCGAAAGAAAATGGCATTTCGGAAAAATCGCCTGAAATCTGTGATGGTACCCCCTTTGGAATATGCCAAAAATTGACCCGGAATAAATCCGCCCTAATCGGTGCTTAATGGACTTAATCATCGTTGAAAAATACCCTCAGTCCGAATCAGTGATCTGTAGCCTTGAAAATCCAAAGAAAATGGCCTTTCGTCGCCCTAAAAATTATGAAAATGTCATCCGAAAATAAATTGGCCCAAATCGGTGCTTAATGGACTTATCATCCGTGGAGAATAGTATCAATAGACTTCTTTATCTGTGAAGAACAGCCTCGGCCTGATTCCGTGATTTGCAGCCTCTATAATCGAGAAAAAATAGCATTTCGGAAAAATCGCCCGAAATCTGTGATGATTCCCTTTAGAATCTGCCAAAAATTTACCCAGAATAAATCCGCCCAAATCGGTGCTTAATTTACTTAATCATCGTTGAAGAATAGCCTCGGGACGAATCTGTGATCTGTAGCCTTCAAAATCCAAAGAAAATGGCCTTTCGTCGCCCAAAAAATTAAGAAAATGCCATCCGAAAATAAATTGGCCCTAATCAGTGCTTATTGAACTTATCATCCGTTGAGAATAGGATCAATAGACTTCATTATCGGTGGATAACACCCTCGACCTGATTCAGTGATCAGCAGCCTCCAAAATCGAAAGAAAATTGCATTTCGGAAAAATCGGCCGAAATCTGTGATGGTACCCCTTTGGAATATGCCAAAAATTGACCCTGAATAAATCCGCCCAAATCTTTGCTTAATGGACTTAAACATCGTTGAAGAGTAGCCTCAAGCCGAATCCGTGATCTGTACCCTTTAAAATCCATAGAAAATGGTCTTTCGTCGCCCAAAAAATTTACGAAAATGTCATCCGAAAATAAATTGGCCCATATCGTTACTTAATGGACTTATCATACGTGGAGAATAGGATCAATAGACTTCATTATCGGTGGAGAATAGCCTCGGCCTTATTCTGTGATCTGCAGCATCCAGAATCGAAAGAAAATGGCATTTCGAAAAAATCGCATGAAATCTGTGATGGTACCCCTTTCGAATCTGTCAAATATTGACCCGAAATAAATCCTCCCAAATCGGTGCTTAATGGACTTAATCATCGTTGAAGAATAGCCTCAAGACGAATCCGTGATCTGTAGCCTTCAAAATCCAAAGAAAATGGTCTTTCGTCAACCAAAAAATTACGAAAATGTCATGCAAAATTAAATTGGCCCAAATCAGTGCTTAATGGACTTATCATCCGTGGAGAATAAGATCAATCGACTTCATTATCGGTGGAGAATAGCCTCGGCCTGATTCAGTGATATGCAGCCTCCAGAATCGAAAGAAAATGGCATTTCGGAAAAATCGCCTGAAATATGTGATGATACCCCCTTTGGAATATGCAAAAAATTGACCCGGAATAAATCCGCCTTAATCGGTGCTTAATGGACTTAATCATCGTTGAAGAATAGCCTCAGGCCGAATCCGTGATCTGTAGCGTTGAAAATCCAAAGAAAATGGTCTTTCGTCGCCCTAAAAATTACGAAAATGTCATCCGAAAATAAATTTGCCCAAATCGGTGCTTAATGGACTTATCATCTGTGGAGAATAAGATCAATCGAGTTCATTATCGGTGGAGAATAGCCTCGGCCTGATTCAGTGATATGCAGCCTCCAGAATCGAAAGAAAATGGCATTTCGAAAAAATCGCATGAAATCTGTGATGGTACCCCTTTCGAATCTGTCAAATATTGACCCGAAATAAATCCTCCCAAATCGGTGCTTAATGGACTTAATCATCGTTGAAGAATAGCCTCAAGACGAATCCGTGATCTGTAGCCTTCAAAATCCAAAGAAAATGGTCTTTCGTCAACCAAAAAATTACGAAAATGTCATGCAAAATTAAATTGGCCCAAATCAGTGCTTAATGGACTTATCATCCGTGGAGAATAAGATCAATCGACTTCATTATCGGTGGAGAATAGCCTCGGCCTGATTTCGTGATCTGCAGCCTCCAGAATCGAAAGAAAATGGCATTTCGGAAAAATTGCCTGAAATCTGTGATGGTACCCCTTTGGAATCTGCCAAAAATTGACCCGGATTAAATCCCCCCTAATCGGTGCTTAATAGACTTAATAATATTTTAAGAATAGCCTCATTTCGTATCCGTGATCTGTAGCCTTTAAAATCGAAGGAAAATGTCCTTTCATCTCCCATAAAATTACGATAATGTCATCCGAAAATAAATTTGCCCAAATAGATGCTTAATGGACTAATCATCGGTGCAGCATAGGATCGATAGACTTCATTATCGGTGGAGAATAGCCTCGGCCCGAATTCGTGATCTGCAGCCTCCATAATCGAAAGATAATCGCATTTTGGAAAAATCGCCCGAAATCTTTAATGGTACCCCTTTATAATCTGCCAAAAATTTACCCGAAAGAAATCCACCCAATTCGGTGCTTAATGGACTTAATCATCGTTTAAGAATTGTTGCAGGCTGTATCCGTGATCTGTAACCTTCAAAATCCAAGGAATATGTCCTTTCGTCGCCCAAAAATTTACGAAAATGTCATCCGAAAATAAATTTGCCCAAATAGATGCTTAATGGATTAATCATCGGTGCAAAATAGGATCAATAGACTTCATTATCGGTGGAGAATAGCCTCGGCTAGAATTCGTGATTTGCAATCTCCATAATCGAAAGATAATCGCATTTCGGAAAAATCACCCGAATTATGCAATGGTACCCTTTGGAATCTGCCAAAAATGGACCCGCAAGAAATCCGCCCAATTCGGTGCTTAATGGACTTATTCATCGTTTAATAATTGCCTCAGGTCGTATCCGTGATATGTAACCTTCAAAATCCATGGAAAATTATCTTTTGTCGCCCAAAAAATTACGAAAATGTCATCCGAAAATAAATTGGACCAAATAGATGCTTAATCAACTAATCATAGGTGCAAAATAGGATCAATAGACTTCATTATCGGTGGAGAATAGGCTCGGCATGAATTCGTGATATACAGCCTCCATAATCGAAAGATAATTGCATTTTGGAAAAATCGCCCGAAATCTGTAATGGTACCCCTTTGGAATTTGCCAAAAATGGACCCGAAAGAAATCCGCCCAATTCGGTGCTTAATGGACTTAATCATCTTTTAAGAATAGCCTCAGGCCGTATCCGTGATCAGTAGCTTTCAAAATCTAAGGAAAATGTCATTTCGTCGCCCAAAAATTACGTAAATGTCATTCGAAAATAAATTGGCCCAAATAGGTGCTTAATAGACTAATCATCACTGGAGAATAGGATCAATAGACTTCATTATCGGTGGAGAATAGTCTCGGCCTGAATTCGTGATCTGTAGCCTTCAAAATCCGAGAAAAATTGTTAAAAATTATGAAAAAATACGCTCAAATCAATTATTAATAAATTTTATCATCGGTGAAGTATAGTCTCAGGCCGAATCTGTGATATGTAGCTTTTAAAATCGAAGGAAAATTGTCTATTTGAACGTTCAATTCTATTTGAACACAAAACTCAATCTTTACCAAGCATGAGAATTTTAACAGGATTTTCCTTGAAATTTAACAATCGTTTGTATTAAAAATTCCTTTTTGAAGCTCACAATATGCTTCCTTACAAAGCCACAACATTTTCCTCCCCCCAAATCTCAATCCTAACCGATGAAGAGGGAAGAAATCGACTTGTATTCCTTAACCAGTCATTTCTTCCCCTCTCATAATTTGTTCATCTATCAAACAAACTATCCGAAGCATCGACCATGGAATTCGAATCCACCTGGAAAAATGAAACAGTTTGTTACACTCTCCCACCGCTAATCAATGCAGAAAATTTTGGAGATGAAATCAGCATCGTGGAAGATGTGTTTTCAGCTTCGTTGTCGCTCCTCAACATCCAAATCTTCCTCATCTACGTTATAAGCAACTCCCTAAATTACATTCTCAAGCGTTTCAGCATTCCTTCCTTCGTGTCTCAGCTCCTGGTAAGGAAATCATCCTGAATAACACCACCACCTTTTAGTACATGTGTGAAAAGTTTTCAAATGTATACCGATCTCAACCTCGAATCGCGATGTTTTTCCATCTCCACACGTAGATCGATTACTAACTTTGTTTTTTCCATCATTTTTTACGAATCTGATTCAGACTGGTATCATCCTGGGGCCGACCTTCCTCAGAAAGAACGATTTTTTCAAGAACCAGTTGTTCCCACGACGCTCACACGAAGCCCTAGACGTGGTCGGCATGACCGGATACATCACCTTCATGTTCCTATCGGCAGTAAAAATGGACGTGGCGATGGTGATCCGGTCCGGTAAAAAAGTGATGACCATTGGGCTAGCCTCCACGATCATCCCTTTCGCCGTCGGCCTGCTCTTCCAGCGGCAGCAAATCGCCGAAGCAGACGACAAACTCACCGTAAACAGCATCGTCGGGATCACCAGCATCCAGTCCCTCACCTTCTTCCCCGTCGTCTCCCAGGTCCTTGAGGAGCTCAAGCTGACCAACTCCGAGATCGGCCGGCTGGCCCTCTCCTCGTCGCTCGTCTCCGGCCTGTTGGGCGCCCTCATCGACCTCGTCGGGAAGGCCTTCTCCATGCACCTCGAGGTCGCGAAGCGTCTGCGCAACCTCCTCGTCGCCTCCCTCTCCATCGCCGTCGCGGTGTTCGTCTTCCGCCCGGCGATGGTTTGGGTCGTGAAGCGGACGCCTCAAGGTCAGTAGCGTCCGAAAGTACTTGTGTCCTCTTTTCATAATACAAATTATACAAAGAAATATTTTTTTAATAAATATAACCGAAATTGGGGAGTTCTACGGTATCCAGGGTGAAATTCATAGTACCGCATACCTTGAGTATGAAAATGCTATTCAGACCATGAATTGACTGATCTTTTGGACATAATACTATACTCTAACCCTTAAAAATCAAAATCTATGTCTTAGTTCTCTAAATCTTATACTCCAAGATCAATTTAATTAGAATAATAAACGACGGTTATGATTCGTAAAGACAAAAGATGAATGTACCATCTTAGAGTTTATAGTTTATGATCTAGATAATTAGGAACTAGGGTTCACTTATTAAGGGTTAGGGTATAGTCTGAAGTCCAAAAATCCTGCTAATTCGAGGTCTACATAGCATTTCCATACTCAAGGTATGCGGTATTCTGGATTTCACACGGAGTACCGTAGAAGGCACCAACCGAAACTATCAATATTCAAATATTTATTGACAGATAAAAAAAATTTTGACTAATACAATCATTGTTTCCATAAACAGGGGCGGACCTATGTGTTGCTCCCAAAAATTTTGTGAAGAACCTATATTTTTTTTGTACAAAAAATTTTAATACGAGATTTCCGACGCCTCTTTAATAATTATAGTCGATATTCGTTCATTATATGACACCCCTCTTCAACAATCCTGGGTTCGCCACTGTCCACAAACAACCCCGACGCAATATTTTCATAATGAAAAGCAAAATATATTCATTGTCTACACTCCGACATATATGTCACTGAAACTTACATGTGTCGCTTATATATACTCAAGGTGGCAGCGTGAAGGCGGCTTACGTGTTCGTAACCCTAGCCGTGGCGACGTCGTACGTGGTCCTCTTCGACGAACTGAGACTGGCTTTCATCCTCGGCGCCTTCATCTTCGGCCTCATCATCCCTCCCGGCCCGCCGTTCGGCTCCTCGCTGGTCGAAACCCTAGAGACCGTACCTCAGGCGCTCTTCTTCCCCGTCTTCGTCGCCACCACGGCCATGAAGGCCGACCTCACGACCGTGTTCGGACCGTTCGACAACCGAGGGTTCTTCACCGCCTTGATCTACTGGAGCGCCATCGAGAAGTTCATCGCGTGCTTGCTGCTCGCCCTGCCGTGGATGCCGCTCCTCGACTCCGTCGTGCTCTCCCTCGTCTTGAACTCCAAAGGCGCGGTGGAAGCCTCCATCCATGCGTACCAGAGGGACACGCAGATGATGGGGCTGCAACTCTACTCGCTGTTCCTCCTCTCCATCTTGGTCAACGCCACGGTCATCCCGGTCCTCGTCAGCATCCTCTATGAGCCGTCGAGGAGGTACGTAACTGTGTTAGTATCAGAAAGACTGACTTCTATAATAACCTTAATAATAATACGGATAGGGTTGAAATTTTACCCTAATCCACCCCTAATTCTGTCTGAACCGCCCCCTTAAGTTCAAGATATATAACTGACCCGCCCTATCCATATAGGGTCGATGCGGGTCGGACAGGGTCGAATCGGTGGATCGACCCTATTTAACATACTAATTTTTATAAAATTACATTTTGATATCCAAATGTATATGCCTTATAATTCAGTACCAAAAACTTTTTTTTTTTTACAAATAAGTCCATAAATGTTGATGGTAAATTATGTTTCGGTACAAGATTTATCTTTTTAATAATTTATTACCTGAACTTTTAAGAGTTTACAAACAGGTCTGATATGTTGTATGAGGAATTTCATTTCACTACCTAATTGTTGCTAAGAGTCACAGGTACGGTTCACAAAGTGAACCGACTCCCTACTCGACCAGCCTTACAGGGTCAAAAAATGAGCCGACCTTGAACTGACTTGTACACAAACCATCCCAACCCGGTCCTTAGAATCTGGGACACGGGTCTCTCATAATATAAGTATAACACAATATTACCCGTACTAACTCATACTCGCCAATCAGGTACGCGGGGTACCACTCGAGGAACATCTTCGCTCTGAGGCCGGTGAGCGAGCTTCGAGTCCTGGCGTGCGTCCACAAGCCGCACCACGTGGCGTCGACGATGAAGCTGCTCGACACGCTCTGCCGGACGGAGGAGAGCGCCGTCGCACTCTACGTCATCCACCTCCTCGAGCAGATCGGCCACGCGACGCCGATCTTCATCACGCACCAGAAGCAGAAGAAGTCGGAGAGCTCGGACTCCTCGTACTCGCACGACGTCGTCGTGGCGTTCGATCAGTACGAGAGGAACAACATGGGGTGCACGTCGGCCCAGATCTTCACGTCGATTTCCCATGCAAAGTTCATGCAGGAGGATGTTTTTACGTTGGCACTCGACAAGCTCACTTCCATTATACTCGTTCCTTTCCACCGGAAGTGGGGGATCGACGGGAGGATCGAGTCCGAAGACAACGTCCTCAGGGCTCTGAATTACAGGTATGTATCGTCGTAAACCGATTAGTTTCAATAACTCGGATGATTGTACTTATAGGTTTCATTATACACTCCATCAAATGAAAGAAAACTCATACAGAAGGTTTGAAGCTTGCACGGACTTATTATCATGTGTTTTAATAACAAACGGTTAATATTGAGGGTAGTCAGTCAATCGTCAGAGGACCTGAACACGCGTGGCTTGAAAAACAAACCGACTCTGATACTGCATGTCAACAAGTTATTGGGAACCAGCTAATTCTTTATATGGATATTAGAGCTGGTTTTTGTCTTTGAGATGATCACAAGTTCAGGTCCTGACGATCAGCAATGTTGATCGTTGTTTTTAGGGCACACGTGTGCAGATTTCAAATCCACGAGTTTGCTTTCGTTTGAGAGGACGTGTAAAGAAGTGGTTAAAAGTACTATACACTCTTCTAATAACTCAAGTTATTAAGACCAGTTGGTTTATGACATAACGTTTGTTTCCTAACGTTACAAAGTCTGTATCCAGACCTAAAATTGAAACATTAAACGTACGACGTCAATCTGTCGCGATTCATTGCAGGATTCTGGACACTGCACCCTGCTCGGTCGGCATACTCTACGACCGCGGCAGTCGGAAAGCGACCGCCGCGATCGAGGTCGTGCCGCTCGACAGCGAAACGGCGCCGTCCGAGTCGGCGTCGTGCTCGATCTGCGCGATCTACCTCGGCGGCCGCGACGACCGGGAGGCCATAAGCCTGGCCAAGAGAATGGCGAACGACCCCTCCGTCCACCTCACCATACTCTATCTGGTTAGCCAACAAAAACTCGCCGCCGCCGCCGCAGCAGGCGGCGAGGCCGTGCTGGACGACGAGGTGGTTTTAAACGGCGTGCTAAGAGAGATGTCCAACTTTCTGAACGTGCAGTGCTTGGAGAGAGTGGTGAGGGACGGGACGGAGACGGCGAGCTTGATCGCTGCGGTGGCGGATCAGTACGACGTTTTCGTCGTCGGGAGGCGGTGGCACATGGAGGTGGAGTCGCCGCAGACGGCGGGGCTGGCGGATTGGAGCGAGTTTCCGGAGCTTGGGGTGATTGGGGATCTGTTGGCGTCGAAGGATGTGAGGACCAGAGGGTCTGTGTTGGTGGTGCAGCAGCAGAGGCAGCGGAAGTAGGGAGTGAAATGGCAAAAGTTGTTGCCACCAAACAATGTGTATATTGGGGGTTTTTGATAGTTTTAGGTGGTTTGTAGTTGGTAATGCTTTGTAGAATATTAGCAATATTGATGATCAATGTTTGTAGAGCATGTGTAAATTAATTACCATTTTATTCCCACTATGTTTTCGTGGAAATTAAAGGGGCCAACAACTAACAAACATGAACTAGAAGTTGAATATAGTTTTTGAATTTCTTGGAATCACTGATGAGTTGGTTTAATTATGATATAATATTGAAGTTTTCGGTGACCGAAAAAGTTTTGTGTTTGAATAATGAAGACGTCCTCCAATGTTATGCATATGGTATTCGAACATGTACCAATTTCAAATTTATGAATTGGTTTTTGTTTGAGGTTTGTGTCGGTAAATGATATTTGATACATGACCCTTATCATCGACAATGCTCTCAATGTGATGATTCAACATCTCCCTAAAGTAAACACATATGAGAAAAGACAACACACAACGATGTTAGATGATATCTCTGAACGGTTGGTTGATCGGGACTAATCCATTAGAGAACTACTAGGGTATTACAGGAGACACAAGGATATTTTTGCATGTGAATCGGCAACGAAAAACTTCGTTGTTGTATGTCCAACTACATGAGCAGACTGACCAAGAACTCATTTTTGCATAACCATCAGTAATCCCCATCAAACGTTAATGAGAGACAAATAACTTTTCCCCCGGTCAATTTTAACGGGTTATATCTTTTTTTGTTTTAAGTCAGTGATTTCATTGCATAGGTCTGGGATATCAAATTAATTGTGTTCTTCAAAATACCATCAACTTTGATAAGGAGACATATATTATCCGTTTATAGTATACCATGGTACTTCGTGATAGTACATAAGATTATACAATGGTTATGGAAGTGTACTATAGCGATATGAATATATCATAGTGTAGAATTATTGTATACGTGATAGTTGGAATATATGAATCATCAATTTACCATAGTTAATCACCATTTAACACCAATCACCATCCTATATCAGGGTGCTATAAGGTGGTATATTTGGTCATGATATTTTTCCACGGAAATTTGTATACATGTCACAATAGATCACGATGACCCCATTTCTTTTGCACAAAATATTTCAAAATTTGAGTTAAAATGAAGATTGTACAAAGTGATATTAAGTGATACCATGATGGTAATGAGTGGTACAAAATAAAATAGTGAAATTGATATCACACTGCATTCTAAGGGTTTTTTTTTTTTTGTTATTTCGGATTAAAACAAAGAAGATACAAGCCGATTATGAAAAATAGGTAAAATAAAATCTCTTAAATCTCGTATCACAAAAGATTAACAAAAGATTAAGGGGTCATATCTGGTTTGCACTTGACCGCCCAAAATGGTCAATGGCAAACTCTTACCAGTTATAACGTCCAGAAAGATACCTTACACGATTGACGATCCATTCGATAGAGAGGGGATATAAAACAGAGAGGAAAGAACCAAGGAACCTAAAAACTGTAATAGGAAACTGCTTCTTACTCTTTCTGTACTTCCGTTAGCAACTGAAACCTGCACCCAACATCAATAGATCAGGTGTAAGTTGTTTTTCGACGAACAGATGAAAAGAAACTCAGCTTGGCATCTCAACAAATACACCAAATTCTATCAAATCAAACTCCCACCCCGAAGCAGAAATTGTTTCTCTCCGTTCTGGAAAACCACCGCAAAGTTCATATCCACAACCGCACACCAAACAGCCGCCACCACGAAGACAATGCGGTGAAAGGATATAATCATATCTATATCCTTCAATCCGCATTCTTCTTCGTGGGTCTCAAATTCAATCCAAAAAAAAATCCCCTGCCTCTTCCAATTACTATCTAAAGGCAGAAGCTTTTTCATAAATAACAACAATGTCGTGGTTGGTGCGAAGCAACACGACGTGGGTGGTGGAAGAGGTCTGCTACGCCTTCCCTCCCAGGGTTCGTTCCGGCGGAGTTTTCATCAACCAGGGGCCTTCCCCTCTCGAAAATCTCCTCTCGGCCTCGGTCACTCTTCTCAACGTCCAGGTCCTGCTCATCCTCTGCCTCTGCAACGCCCTGCATTTCGTCTTTCGCAATCTAGGCGTAATCCCCTTCGCCACACAGTGCCTGGTACGTTTGTACATGAACAGACTTGTAACTCTTTCGTGCTATTGTGCAACTGAGACGAATGGCATCACCTGCGATTCACCTGCTGACCGTAGTTTTTTGCTTTGTGGGGAGCAGGCAGGGGTGATTTTAGGGCCGACGCTTCTGGGGAAATGGGATTACTACAAGAAAGTATTTTTCCCTCACCCGAGTCAGAACTCGCTGGGGGCGCTCGCGATGACAGGATACTCGTTCTTCATGTTCATGATCGGGGTCAAGACCGACGTGGGAATGCTGATTCGGTCCGGGAGAAAGACCATCATCATCGGCATAGCATCCGTGCTGGTCCCTTACATCATCGGCCTAGCCTTCCAGACAGGCCGATTGCTCGCGGTCCAGGGGCTAATGGAGAAGATGGAGATCATCGGCTTCACCGCGCTCCAAGCCACGACAACATTTCCCGTCGTTTCCCACCTCCTGATCGAGCTCAAGCTCACCAATTCCGAGCTGGGCAGGCTGGCTCTGTCCTCGTCGCTCGTCTCCGGTCTGCTGGCAGCTTGTCTCGAGCTCAGCGCGATCCTCGCCACCGAGAAGCACGGGCCGATGAAGGTGGCATTGACAGTTCTGTTGGGTCTGTTCGCGGCATTGGTCCTGCGCCCGGCAATGCTGTGGGTGATTAAGCAGACTCCTCAGGGGAAGAAGCTTCATTCCTCGTGTGTTCCAATCATGGTGGCGGTTGCATTTATGTACCAGATTGCGTTTGATGCTCTGAGGCAGTCTCAAGCATTGGGGCCTTTCATCCTTGGGTTGGCTGTTCCGTCGGGTCCCCCATTGGGCTCCGCGGTGATCGAGACCCTCGAGGTGGTAACCAACTCCATCATGTTCCCGGTGTTTGTAGCTACATGTGCAATGAGGGGAGATCTCTATACTATGGTGACAATGGGGTTCAGCAACAGAGGATACTACGCGAGGGCGGTACTGGCTTCGCTCTTCGTCAAGTTTCTCGCCTGCTTGTTGCTGTCTCTGCCTTGGATGCCCCGGGCTGACTCTGCTGTTCTTGCTCTCATCATGTGCTCCAAAGGTATCTACGAGCTTAGCGTGTTTGCTGTCCAGAGGGATACCCAGGCCATAAATGAATCATTATTCTCCTTGTGTCTCGGCTATATCATTCTAAACTCCGCCATTATCCCAATCATTGTGAAGTACCTGTACGATCCATCGAGGAAGTATGTGGGTTATCAGGCAAGGAATCTGTTCAGCTTGAGGCCTAACACTGAGCTCAGGGTTCTTACCTGCATTCACAAGCCTCATCACGTTGGATATATGATCAACTTGCTGGATGTTATATGTCCAACTGAAGAGAACCCCATAGGAGTCTATGCTCTTCACTTGGTCGAGCTAGTGGGTCGAGCCACGCCTATGCTTATATCTCACCAGAAGCAGAAGGCAGTTTCCGACAACTGCTCGATTGAGGTCATACTCGCTTTCAATCAGTACGAGAGGAGGACGTATGGCCTCACGTCCGTCAACACATTCACCTCGATCTCCCAACCAAAGTTCATGCACGACGACATATGCACTCTTGCTCTCGATAAATCCACCGTTCTTCTGCTGACCCCATTTCACATCACATGGGCCCTCGATGGAAGTATTGAATCGGAAGATAACACCATGAGGGCTCTGAACTCCAGGGTTTTGGAAAGAGCTCCCTGCTCTGTGGGAATCTACTTCAACCGTGGGAATGTCAGGGTTCATGATGGTGCAGCAGAGCCAAGAAGTTCAGATGCTTCATCTTCGTTCTCGTCTGCCTACTCGGTATGTGTACTGTACTTGGGTGGAAGAGATGATCACGAGGCACTGTGTTTGGCTACCCGCATGGCTAGAGACTCAGGCCTGGAGCTCACAATTCACCATCTAGTCTCCAAGGAGGACACTAACACAACAAACAGGTTGTCACATGAGAGAATGATTGATGAAGTGGTGTTGAAGGAAGCTCTGCATAAAGTTTCGAACTTACCAAATGTGAAGTACATCGAACAAGTCGTGGAAGATGGACCTCAAACTGCAATGGCGGTTAGAGCGATTTCCAGCAATCATGATTTGTTTGTTGTCGGGAGACGAGATGGGGTGGATTCGCCTCAAACGACCGGACTAGCTGAATGGAGTGAGTTCCCAGAACTAGGAGTGATTGGAGACCTCTTGGCCTCAAAAGATGTCGAGACCAAAGCTTCTGTACTGGTAGTCCAACAGCAAAAGCAGTTCAAGTAGAAAAGAAATGAAAGTATATAAATTTATACATCTGTAATTGCTAATGAAGTCAATCCTCATCCATGTTTATAACATAAAACATTTTTTACTTCAGCAACAGCTGCAATTGCCTAGTGCCTACTTCTCTGCCTCCCGGTTTCAGCTCACCCATTGTTGGGTGCCAAAACAATATACACACAAAACTTTCCATTCAACAAAAAAAAAGAACAATCTAATTCAACACCTAGAATGCAGGAACCACTTAGATAGAACGACCAAAAAAAAATCAAGAAAGATTCAGCAGAGCACTGGTTTTCACTTTTCAGTACTAAACATAAAAGATGATATCCGATTAGTTATCTTCTCCAAAGAATACAATTCTCTCAAAATATCTATCGACGTACATGGTTAAGCTTATGATCTCTCCTCTGTCGAATAACCACCCCCTTTTTCCCTCTGTTTGATGACTCTGGAGTGGACAGCTTGAAGTATAGCTCAGTCTTGAGAAAGATGGAAACCCCCATTGGTTAACCAGTATAGCAAACTTAATGCATGCCAAGCATCGAAGGATATGCTATCGCTTGAGGACCAAACTCTGGCAACACCAACACTGAAGAGGAGAAAAAGGCATCCGAAAAGTATCCGATAGTTAACTGTACATGAGTCACCAGCATTATCTTCTGTCAGAACTCAGAACCATCAATTGGAACTCTGCATGTTCACTGAGTAACCTCTATCAGGACAGGGCATGTACTCAAAACAAACAATAGTTTGCCTAATTGCCTTTGAACTGGGATGTTGACAGCCAGCCATCTCAAAGAAAGTAACACAAATTTAGCATTACTTACCGCTACTACGAATGCATCAGAGTTGGAAACCTCTTTCGACTGGTTTTCAGGTGGTGAAACAGGCTAAGGCTGTCCTTTTGTTCATCTTCACGCTGGTCAGAAACGCCACTACTTCTCCCCTTTCTTTTGGCTACCATTCCAAGTAGAAAAGTACTTATGGATGCCATTCTTGAATTCCCTGTGGATTAGTTATAATATATCAGAAAACAATACTCAATTAAACATACCCAAAGCATTAACCACCAACATCTGCAGTTGTTAACTAAAAAGAAACACCTAACAACAATTTGATAAATGGTTCCTCAACGCTCCTATGATGCCAACAGCTTCTTCCCGTCACCAAATTCACCACTTCCTACCATCATCTGAAGCCACTTATGGCTAATGTAGTAATGTATGATATATTATTTGAAATGCTTAAAAAATCATAATTCTCTCCATACTAAATATGGAAACAATCAGCTGATATATAGATGACATTAACCAATCAAAATAGCCTTTCATCCACCAACCTCCTCACTAAGATCCGCATACATGTTCAGTTCCTGGGATGGGCAATTTGTTTCCATGTTATGTTGCTTGGGAAAGGGATCGAAGAAGGCCTGGAGCAGTTCGAAGTGAGGATCATTGATCGCGGCTTTTCCTCCATCATGGTTCTCCTTGCCCCATAATTGGTTCTCTTGGCTGCCCAAATCACTGAGAGAGAGAATGGGTGCCATGCAGGAAGAACTGAAGGAAACTTGGGAACTTGAGTAATCACCAACCAGGAGATCGGAAAGACTCGGGAGAAATGTCCTTATATATACTAATTTAAGTGCTAGAGCCAGAGAGCGCACATTGAAGATGTATCAAGAAACAAGACAAGCAGCAAATTAGGAGAACTCATAAAAGCATAGAATCTGACCGTACTGAAAGTGAGAACGCATCGCAAGAATCCACGACAACTCCCAAGGGCATGGATGACATAATAGCCTCCTTTCAAAGAGTTCGGCAGGATTTCACTACGTCTGTGATTCAGAGGGAAGACTGTTTTGCTTGGAGATTAAATGCAATGCCGTGCCCTTCACGATCCAGGCAGTCATCTCTGGTTGATGCTCAAATGCGCCAAAAGGATGCTGACGTCCATCCTCCAGCTGGACACCATATATAAATGGGAGTCGAAGTGAGATGAAACTTTCTGGTGGTAAAACTACTTGACTCCCAAGGGTGAACTGCAGTTTTTTTTCACGGTCTGGAACTGATGGCGGAAGACACGATTCCTGCAGGTGGAAATCAATAGATCAGAGAAATAGCTAAATAAATAAGAGAGATCAAGTCTGGTCCACAATATTAGTCATGCATTTGCATAAATGGTCAAAAATTAATAGGTAAAACAAAAAAAAAGGACAAAGTGAACAGAAGCAACAGAGACTGTGGAAATTGTGCTTCTGAAAGTTCTCTTATTGAGTATAGAACAGGCAAGGATACAGCTGTACTTCACACACATTTACAGTATGTGCATAGAATAGACGGATGAACTCATACATACCTCAAACTGGATAATAGGGCATACTGCTAAAACGATTGGAAACGTTGGTGTGACCTACAAGCAGATACCATGTGTTAGAATTTAGGGCATCAGTGGCAGTGAAACGGAAAAGAAAATGGATGCACCTCATAACTGGAAAATACTACTTGCCTTAAACCAAACAGAAATTTTGCGAACTCGCATGAAAAAAGTAATAACTGGAGTACATAGAGCACAACAGATTAAACGACGACTACTTTGAATTATCTAAAGACCACACCAAAGATATGTCTACCAGTATATATAGCAGCAAGATATTAACTTCAGTCAGACCTCCAAGCAATCTATTTTGAGAAATTCTATTACTTCTATAACAAGACACCCATTTGTGGTATGACATGGTATTTTCTGTCGAACGTGGACCAGAAGGCTGTCATTTATGAATCAACGCAATGGTCGTGAAATTGCAACTACAAAAAGGAGACTCAACCCATGGCAATGCATCCCCCAACAATAGCAGAACGTCAGGAGATCAATTTGAATGTATATGTCATTTTAAGATTTTCAAGCACCTTTCACTTCCAACAATTTGAAAAAAGAATTGAAAACACTCAGGTTATGTGTAGAACTTTAAGAGTGACTCAACCCCATTCTTCAACTTTAACATCAAAGAAAGAACAGGACAGGCTTGTAAGAGCACTGATGTGAAGTTGAAGCCATAGCAATAAGGCAGCGGAAACGAAATAAAATCAGGGAACCGGAAATTATCGTACCAGAAAGATCCTCTGTAGTTGAGATACTGTGCCAGCAAATTTTATCTTCGGGTCCTTTTTACCCTTGGAGCGCCGGCAGTATGGACAGTTCATGAACAGCGGAATATTTCTATTCAACATTGAAAACTCACTTCCACTGACATCAATGCTAACAGAATCAAGGTCTGTGCGAAGTTCTTTCACAAGATTAGAGTCTACTGGAGCACTTATGAAGCTTTGATTACTTCGCCCACTTCCAGAACCATATGCCCTCATCTCTTTTGACCTCTCTGCATTCCTCACTTTATCTGCAGAAGCAACAGTCACGCTCCCAGAACTTCGATAAAGTTTACCACGAGAACCTTTCTTACCCAAGCTCGACTGGCCAGTTACATTTTGACTAGAAGTTTCTACATGCGGCGTATCATGTTTCTTATGCAACGAATATGCAGAGCCTAGTTCATTGAGGTGATCTGCATTCAAAAGAAAACGATGTCCATAGGGACATTCATGCTCAAAACCAAAATAGACTTCTGCATGCTTCACAACAGGATTTGATTCAATCACCGCCCCGTTATTGACATTCACAGGGACTAAATTACTTCCTATTCTCAGTATGGGGTCTCCGTCAAGACCACCAACAGAGGAGGAGGATCCATTTGAAAATTTCAAGGATGTTGAAACCTCTTTAACTTTCTGAGATCCTTGCTCAAAAGCTGCATGAATCTGTACTATGGATGGAACTCTAGACCTATTTTGCTTGATAGATTTTTCTGAACCAGCTGCTGAAGGATGCCTCCTCTGCTGAAGAGGAGGAAACCCTGAATCTCTAGTCAATGATCCAGCCACTACCTCAGAAAATGGCTTTTTCATATTATGATTCGTAAGACCCATACCAAAGCTAATAATTTTCTCGTCAGATCTTCCATGTTCCAACTGTTTCCTTTCCATTTCAGTCCTGCTCTGGGATTCTGCAGAGTAGAATTGTTGACCATCAATTTTCTTTTTATCGACCTCGGAATTTAGCTCCACTGGAGGTTCAACCATTGGCCTCGATACAGACTGTAGATGAAAAGCACTAGTAGAAAAATCATTTGGATTGGTCGGTTTCTCAAGCAATACAATCCACTTCGACAGAAACTTATGTGTGGTAGAAAACCCACTCTGGATTATACCCTTAGAAGGGTCATAGTACCTAGCTCCTCCAATACGAATCAAAGTCCAAGAGGATGAACGAACAGGCCCCATATCATTTGCTTGTAACTGCACCACAGGAAGCCCTTTTTCACAATCTGGAAAGCAATTTGGATCATTTGCAGATTCAAAACTAAAGGGATCGGGTCGGAGTCCACGTGAACGACCACAAGCACAAGCATGGAGAAAAAAATATCCACTAGAGTGCGTCTTTGGTTCTTCCAGTAGCTGACTAGAGCTAGAAATATCATGTCTTCGGTGCATGCATGGTTTCCCAGTCAAACTAACGGCATCACAGAGTTGCCTGCCGGATTTCCATATGTCAGTGCACTCATCTTCGAGTCTTCTGGCAAACAGCTCCACAGCAGGGCCCCTAACCATTGAGTTAAAAGCATGCAGAGCTTTTTTCAGATGGGTTTCGTGCAGTGAAGTTGGGTAACAAGGAGGGAGCCCTCTCATATAAACATCCTTGGCAGTTGGAAGGGCTCTTTCACACCAAGATTTTGAGAATTTCGAATTCAATCCTGTAGCATTTTCTAGCAAAGATGCTGAAAAATCCATAGGATCTACCCCTCTGGAAGCAACCCCTTGTGTTTTTCTATTGCTGATTTCCATGTCATCTACAATCCCATGCTTAGCGGAGAGCAAACCATGTAACAAGTGTTGGCTGCATGATAACCATCCTTCAACAGTTGGAAGTTCAGAAGCAGAAGAAAACGACTTCCCTGAAGCAGCAGAGGCTGCAGCGGCAGCAGCAGCAACAGCAGCCATGCCAACGCCAGTGCCTGAACCATTGTTGGTAAATCCTCCTCTACCTCTAAGAATATCAGATACCCTCTGTAAAAATTCCTTTATGGATGAAATATCCTCTTTGTTTGCACTCTGATGACCATTACTTTCAACCAAGAGAGAATCTGATGTTGCTTTCCCATTCAAAACATCATCCACCATTTTGGTAGCAAAATCCAGCGATTCGCCTCCCCGGATAGTACACCTGTCAAGCAGCACAACCGCCCTCGATGCATCGAACGAAAACAAAGGTGATGAGCTTGGAGCGCCTCCACCTCTAGAGCCACCCGCATGGGCTACTTCAGAACCTGAAAGAACCCTGCACTTCTTTATCAGAAATCGAATCTGTGCTTCAATAGATGACTGTGCTTTCTTCCTAACACCTCCTTCGGATTTACTAGCAGGCCGTGCTAGCACAACAACTGAACCAGACCCTTTTGAGGGTAAGCTTGACCGAGGTATAGTACTCGAGTTTGAGGAATGATTAAGTTGGGAAGCCTCTGTAGTCTCCTCGACACTTGAGCTAACATTCAACCCATCTGGAAAATCATCAACGAAAACGAAGAGGATCACTGGAGTGCAATGTCCAGGGTACAACGGGCTGTAGGATCCTAAACCTGACATGAGAGAGATAGATGAAGCATTCCGACTCGTGCTTCCCTTACTTCTACCCGATGAAGAAGCAGCGGCGGAAGGTGGCCTGGAAGAACTAGAATCAGAATGAGGCCTGGATGGAAATGGCTGGGAACTTTTCGATTTGAAATATGGAACCAATGCATGCTTGGCTGCTTGCAACACCCTGAACTTACTCAAGATATGAGTATCAACCCGTGAACCCTCCAGAATGTAAACAATTGCATGACACACCTGCATTGCTAATTGAGTTATATTTCATTAGACACACCAATTGAGTTCTATCGCCTCAATTCCATAAGCACAACGCTCTGCAGGTAAAATGAGACGAAAATTACTTCTGAAAGGAACCCACCTACTGCAAAAATCAAATCTTGGTTCAAATTCAAAACTTTTTCCCCAAAAACTTCACGGTCTTAATTCAAGCACCTCTCTAAGTTGACAAGTTCCTAAGAGCAATGCCCATAACGAAAAACAGCAATGTGTTCAATCATACACACGGGAGGAAAAGAGGCAGAAAGGAACTCACAGAGAACATGAAGAGCAAACCCTGTAGATCTTCCAACTCCCCCTCATCCAGACAAGTCTCGAACCCCGGTCCGGCATCCGCCAATCCATGAACAACCGGGCATCGAGTGGAGCAAAACTGCAAGAAGAGGGTTCCACGCTCTTCATCATGGTAGTAACTAATTCTCCTCCGATTGAACCATTCCCTCGATTCTTCTTCAAACAAAACCTTCGCCAAGTTGCCGGAACCGAAGGCGTTGGCGTCAATGATCCGATTGATGAGCTGGGAGGAAAGGTGAGGGATACGGGAGACAAAGCCAACTACTACTACACCAGAGGGAAAGCGAGAGTCAGGCTGCCGAGTCGGCACCGGCGGCGGCTGAGGTTCAGGCGAGATGGGAGGAAGGGGCTGAGGAGGCGGTGCACGGGAAAGCCCGGAGATTGGGTTCGGGACAGGGACAGGAACAGGTGGGCGGGAGAGAACCCGAAGGATTGGAGGATTAAGCGAATCCATAGGAGATCTCCGAGTTCATCGACAATGCAAGCCAAAAAATTTTAGGGCCGCGTTTGTCTCCTACTCGTCTTTCTTCTTCCTCTTCTTCACTTCCCACTCCCAGTCTCTTGACTATGTCTTCTGGTTCGACCTACGGGTTGGGTGGGTAACACGATATATCGACGATACGATATAGTTCCAATATAAGGAGATATACAAAATACCGTGACGATATATTGGGGAGTAAAACAGGTCAAAGCGCAAACTTCCTTTCCTTCCTCCCCTGCCTGCCAAATTTTCCTATATCCTCTATACCATCTCTCACTGTTCTGTTAGCCACTAGAACCGCAATTCGCATTATCATTCTATCTCTTCTCTCCAGAAAAAGAAAATGCAAGCAGCTGCAGCGGCAGCCATGGCGGCTCACGCAATCCTGACAGCTTCCCCTTCGTCTTATACGCTCCTTGCCCCCGTTTCGAAACCCGTCGCCGCCCACCACCAACCACCGGCTCTCCATTCTATCTTCAATGGAGTTAAGCTCCCTCTTCGTCAGTCCATGGCTTCTCTGTCCCTAGCTGCTCCCTCCACCAAGAAGCCCCTCACCGTCGTCGCCGGCACCAAGAAGGCCGTCGCCGTACTGAAAGGCACTTCCAGTGTCGAAGGCGTTGTCACATTGACTCAGGAAGAGGACGGTCTGTTTTTATTTTCACATCTGTTGCTAAATTTCTCTGTTTCTTTGTTGGGTCTCCATTTCTAGCTGATGGGTACATGAGATTGAATGGAGAATCGGGTTTTGCTTTGATTGTCCAGGATTCGCTGAATTAGGCTTTCATCAATTTTGGTATTAGTAATTTGGATGATGAAGATGACAGCTGAATTTGGTTCATTTGCATCTGTTCCCCTCTGTTGCATGTTGGTACTTGGCAAGTGATTTTGAATTGGAATGGAGCTAGATAATTGAATTTGTTGAAGAATTTGCTTTCTTGACCTCAGAAATGAATGCCATTACTGAATTTAGCTTCTCTGCAATGACACGCAACAATAGGTTACTGAGCCATCATTTTTGTTTCCCTTATACTTCCCAGCAGGTCCAACAACTGTAAATGTTCGTATCACTGGTCTCACTCCAGGGTCTCATGGTTTCCACCTGGTGAGTTGATTTTTCTGCTATGGCTGTTTAAAGATTGAGATTTATAGTCCACGTTTTCTCCCGGTCTAATCAGTTTTTTTGGATTGTTTGTTATGCAGCATGAGTACGGGGACACAACGAATGGCTGCATTTCAACAGGTTGGACCTTGAAGTATTCTTGTAAATTGTTTTGTGTGGACAAAACTGATGCTCTCTTGGTTCCCTAATTTGCAAAGTTCTGATCTTTGTTTTTTATACTCCAATCTCTGAAAAACGAATAACAGGACCACATTTCAATCCCAACGGCTTGACTCATGGTGCTCCTGAAGATGAAGTCCGACATGCGGGCGACCTGGGAAACATAGTTGCTAATGCTGATGGTATATTGCCTCTCTGATTTTCTATAGTGTTGTTTTTGTGTTATCTAAGCACTTCGATTTGTGGGCATAATCGTATGTTTGGTGACACAGGTGTAGCAGAAGCAACAATTGTGGACACACAGGTAATCGTTGGAGCTGATTCCATACCTTAGTACCCAATAGTTGGAGGCCAATGCCAAGCTTTCATCTTTTGTTTAAGACTCTATCGGGGTTGTCATTGTGATGATGGTTTGTTTTATGTTTTTTTCCGTGTGCTAAGTTTTAAAATCATCTCAAAATGTTAACAGATCCCTCTGAGTGGCCCTAATGCAGTAGTCGGAAGGGCTTTTGTGGTCCATGAGCTGGCGGATGATCTCGGAAAGGGTACGATCAACGCTCTCCTATTTGTTCCCTCTGAACTGCAGTCAACATACCTCTGGTTTCTGCTTTGTTTCTCTTGAGAAACGATCTTTTTAAGGTTGTACAGCTGAATGTTCGTTTCGGTTAACATGATGCTGTCTCATTTTAACTGGATGAGATTGCAAACTTGCTATTTTTTACCATGATGGCATGTTTCTAAACGAGCACATAGTGTCTTATCCCATGATGTACATGAATCTTCTTGTTGTGCTTGCTTGACATTGAAAAATACAAAATGTTTTACACTACCATTTTGGTTATGTGTCTTGGATTTGTCAGGTGGGCATGAGCTTAGTTTGAGCACAGGAAATGCAGGAGGTAGACTTGCATGTGGTATGTATCACTTTCCAGTTTTGTTCTCAATCTCTTCTTGTTCTGCCTGATTAACTGTTCCTTGACTAACTCTTCTGAGCATATTAGGGTAGCTCATTTGTTGGTTGACTAACCATGTGTATGGTGAGTGATGATTCACTTTACTGTTTGCATGGCAGTTGCCTCTGTTCCCAAATAACATACATATATGTCCAAAATTCGAATTCGTAAAAATCTATGGAAGAGGAAGGGATAGTGGGCTGAATTGAAAGCCTATTCACTTGCCAAAACTCTATATACCGGTAGATCGAAAAGTTTGTGGTGCGGCTATACTGAAAATGAGTAGATCCATTAGCTTGTCATTTGAAGTTTGGTAAGCAAGCCTCAAACCTTGCAACCCTCATTCATAAGGTGATTTCAAGATCAAAGACTATCTATATGATGTTCTCAGAAAACCTGACTCAGTTTTGATAGATATGGGAATCTTGAGCTGAGATGTCTTGCTCTCAATCTAGATTCGAGAATGTGAGTTGAGTACACGGCGTACTACAGTACTAGGACCTGAACTATCAATGCACAAACTTTACTGTCAATCACTTATTAATTTCTCTTAGCAGCAGCATTTCTACGTTAATGGAGTCGCTTCTGTGCCTCGCTGACCCTTGTTGTGCATTAGCTGCTTCTGATATTATGTCCATCACATTCTGTTCCCCTTTGCGTGCAGGTGTTGTCGGCTTGACGCCTATATAATCTACAAACAAATCAAAATTCTGGAGTATGGTGACCGTGCTCATATGCCCAGTTTTTCATACTACAGGCCAACGTTGATTGTGGTTCCAATTTAGATATGTACTCCATGCATGTGAATGAGGAAACAGAACCAATAAAGCTGCGATATTTCAGCCAGCAGCAATAGATACACTTGAGATGCTTGTTGGTTCGACTTCGACAGCAGCAGCTTTCTGTAATTGGATCATTCTGTAAGCAGAAAAGAGATGGAGAAGCATTGGGCCCGTTTTTTTATGATCAGTTTTCCTTGAGATTTGCCTAATTGCGTGTGGATTGGGCTAGAGTTTATGGCCCAAATAGATGCCCATGGAAAATGTCCATGGCGATTGGCGACCCAACAGAAGCTAAAAGCGGTAGAGCACATAGGGCTTCAAAATGAGTTGAGTTGAGCCGAATATTTTTGGGTTAATTGCAAGGATGGTCACTGGGTTTACTAAAATCATTCATGTTTGGTCACTGTAAATATTTAATTCCATTAATGGTCACTAAGATTAGTTCAATAGTTCAAGTTTGGTCACTCTCCGTTATTCTCCGTTAGTTTTTGCTGATGTGGCAGTCAACTATTATAGTTGACCGTTAAATGAGTGATGTGGCCATTAAAAAAATAAAAAATAATAAAATTTAAATATTTTCAATTTCCACCTCATTTTACAACTATTAAAAAATAAAAATAAAAGTTACCTCCACCATCTACGCCACCGTGGCCATGACGCGATTGTCTCCGCCGCCGGAGGAAGTACTTGGTGGAGGACTTGGAAGAGCCATTGATGAATGGCAAAGTTGTGAGCTGTAGCAGTGGGGAAGAAACGGATGGAAATGAAGAAGACAGTAGCAATGGGTCGATAGGAATGGTGCTTCTCAGCACTGCTGTCGCGGTTTGTGGCTCTTTCGAGTTTGGCTCTTGTCTAAGTCTACACCTCCCAACTGATTCACTTGCTCGCATGGTTGGAAAGAAAGTTTGGATCTTTACTGTGTGTGAGAAAGAGGCAGTTTTAGGAATCAGAGAAGTAGGGGGGCCAGGGTTTTTTTCTTTCTTTGAATCAATGGTTTTTACTAAGTGGGTTTTTGTGTGTCTGTGTTTCGTCTGGGATAGGAACGAAAATGAAATTCCCCTCAGAAAAAAATTATATGCAAAAGGGTGGGGAAAGAAGGTAAAAGGAAAGGTTTGTTTAGCTTAAGCTATTATTTTGACAAGTTGGTTACTCTGCACCTGTTCAGTCTGCAATTAGTGAAGATCTCAACCTGTCTTTGCTTGAGGTAATGCACCTTTCCTTCCCCTCCAGTTTTCTTCTTTCTCTTGCTCATCATACTCAGACACTGAAACACTCTGTTTCCATCTCCCCTGCTTCAGTACTCCATGTTCGGCTCGATACTGACAATTGGAGCCATGCTTGGAGCTGTAACCAACGGCAGAACTGCAGACTTCATCGGCCGAAAAGGCGTGAGTTTTAGTACTCCATAGCTATGGAATAAGAATCATAATACAGAGTGTGAGTGAAATCTCAATTCCTCATGTTTCTATGTTTTTGACAAAGCACAGGCAATGAGGATGTCTGCTATGCTCTGCATAATGGGATGGCGGCGGAGACGATCACGTCATGGCCACGGTGGCGTAGATGGCGGAGGTAAGTTTTATTTTTATTTTTTAATAGTTGTAAAATGAGGTGGAAATTATAAATATTTAATTTTTTTTTTATTTTTTTAATGGCCACGTCACTCATTTAACGGTCAACTATAATAGTTGACTGCCACATCAGCAAAAACTAACGGAGACTAACGGAGAGTGATCAAACTTGAACTATTGAACTAATCTTAGTGATCATGAATGGAATTAAATATTTACAGTGACCAAACATGAACGGTTTTAGTAAACCCAATGACCATCCTTACAATTAACCCCGAATTTTTTTGTCTAATTTGAGTCGAGCTCAACTCGTTTACGATAAATAAATACCTCTGTGTAATATCCGGACGAAACCTAACCTATCATCTCAGCTAATTTCTTCTCCTTCCTTGGTAGTGCTAGCTAGTAGTCTTGCAATGGAAGTGATGATGAACTGATTGGGATAAAAGCAAAACGCTTTTAGTCAAAATGACATATGGATAGGCAGCATAATTATATACTAAGACCTAACTTTCTCATCCCCCTCCTCTCTAACTTGCTATGTAATTCTCATCTCACAAGTGATCATTGGTGATTAATTACCGATGTTGATCAATCATCTTTCTACTTTCATTTTCAGTTAGCTCTACACCAAAGCATATAACCCACTTGTTATAATTCGAAGATAGATTATATGTCGTTAACTGAAAGTCACGGTATATGGGACCTGTAACAATCGAAACTACTACTTTAACTTCACAAGCCAAAAAGAAATTGCAATTAGGGGTCGTTTGGATGGTATAATCTAGTGAGTCAATTGGGCTCAATTGGCTCAAAATGAAGCATTTGGGTCACATTAGCTCATTTGGCAGCACAAAAAATGAATGGTGTAATTGGGCCGGGTCAATTCAAGATTAGCTCATTTTGGAGCAATTAGAAATACATGGTGGGGAGGTAGGTTTTCTCAATTAGCTCATTTTTGTGTGGGCCTATTCTCATTTTTGGAGCAAAAGTGTATATTGTCTCATTCTAATTGCCTCATCTCATATGACAAACCAAACAAGATAATCTAGAACAAATGTCTCATAGAATTGTCTCATTTTCTAAAATGAGACATTTAACCCAAATTGCCTCGTTTTAGAAATGCTCCATCCAAACGACCCCTTAGTATTTTGGTACAAATGATTTGTTGGGTGCAAGCCAACAAACCGATCTAATTTAGGTACACTAAACCCTCGCTCCTTCCTCCCTCTCACGATCGTTAATAACAATAATACAAATGAGAATATCAACAACGTTAGTTGAATAGAATACATGCCAAAATCTCAGTTGACCAGATTCGTACGTAGCTGTTCATCTGCCGGCCGCTGGAGCAAGTGGGCTTGATTGATTGATTGAGAGTGGATTCACTAGCCAAAGTGTGAAACGCAGGGGAGTGGAGCAAGTGGCTGCAACTGAGCTGATCAAAAGAAAAGAAGAAGGAATTGCTAGCTGGGTTTCCTGTAGTTTAAGGCGTAATTCAGGGCTTTGGAGTTGTGAAGAAAGAAAGAAAGAGGTTCGGGACTGTAGTACTAGTATGGCTTTTGGTGTGAAGAAAGAAAGAAAGAGGTTATACAAAACGTAATGTATCGTATCGGCAGTCCGACCGGGAAAATTCCCTATTGAAGTTTAAATTTGGTGGAAGGGTTTCAGCGGTATGAAACGCGGTTACGTTGAATCACGATATCAGCACAAAATACCATACGACTGACTTTTTTAGGTACAATATATGATACCGTTTTACAATCCTTAATTTGTACCTAGTTTCTTGATGTGTATTATATATGACTTTACGGATTGGACATATTCGTATCGTCAAGATGATAACGTATTCAATTGAAATCTAAATATATAGATATATATGAAATAGTACTTTATTGCCTTGTTGCCTCAGCTAGCTAGTAAGTCAAACTGTTCCACTTTTCTGGAAGTCTAACCTAATCAACGATAATAATAGATTGACCTAACTTCATAATTAAAATCACCATATACTTATTACTGAGATAATTAAAAGGTGAATTTGTGGTTTGGCTTCGCCCCCTCCCCACTCCACTCCTAACTTCCCACACACATTTTCCACCCAAGTTGCCCACTTTAAATTATTACTAATTCACCCAATTAATTTCTAGAAAATTAATTAATCCCAAAAAAAATAGAAAGAGAAAAAGAAGAAGAAGAAGAGGAAGAAGAATCCCCCAAAGGCGAAACACAGTTAGTTCAGTGACAGCCAAGAACAGTGAAGTAGGAGGGTAGAAGAAAGTGTGGCCTAGCTTTGCTTTTGCTTTGCTCACTCACAGCCAAGAACACTTAATATTATTCTTTCATATTTAGTTAGTTAGAAAGGGATAGGGCAAGGGAAAAGGGTGGGCTTAGTTGTAACTAACATGCTCTCTCATGACTTTTGTGGCTGAGAAAATTATAAAAACAAAAAAAGTCTCTTTTTTTCCTAATTTAAATGCATTTATAAAATATAATTCTAGGGTTTTGGCTTTTGCATGTGACGTGTGGGAGTGGAGTGTGTGTTAAGTTCACTAGGCTTAGTAGTAGTTGGAGTGATGAGAGATGAAGTGTAGTGGGCAACAAACTATAAAGAAGCAAACAAAATGTACATATATGGTTATTACTCAGATTTCAGAAAGTGATGGCACGAAATGAAATAAAAATATAAGGTGGGAAATGGATAATGAATCTGTTTGAGATCAATTGCCATACATCATAAACAGAGCTCTCCAACTCCCTCTGTGTTTAGCTGTATTGCCCATGTCACACCCCACCTTGCCTCCTACTCGTACTATCGGAGTTCGAACACGAGAACTCCAGCAAATTGACGAAAAATTCGATTGTTTGACCGTCAATTGTTCTATACAACTGACTCGCATCATTTGTTAGGGATAGTGAAGTTTGATAGAGTTGTAACATGCGACACTTTGGAATCAATTTGGATGAATGAATTATGGAGCTCAACTAACTAAGATAGTGAAGAACATGGAGAGTGGAGTTCGGTTTAGCTAAAGCTTAATTAGCCTTTTAGGAATGGGATTAGGCAGCTATGGACCGGCAGTGCCAGTAGACAACTTCTTCACTTTTTTAAGTATTTGGTATTAGCTAGCTAGCTTAGTGGCTGTCCAATTACTGATTTCATAATTTTGTATCAGTACTATTTTGTTCAGAAGCAAATAAGAACATGGAGGCCGATAATCACTATGGAAGAAGGAATCTGTATCTAGCACTTCATTAACATCCCATGATTACAATAAAGAAAAACAACCTATAATTCATAATCAAAATCAATTAATTATAGGTTTAGTTGACAATTACAGATTACACAAAAACCAGGCTGTCTATGTTCAATCATGTACCAATCCTCACTTCATTGCTCGCAACAATGTAACAACTCCTCCTCCATAATTGGATAGCTACAGCCACTACTTCTGCTTAGGAATCTCAATTCAATTGGTTCATTTGTTTCTGTCTATATACAGTTCATTACTTGTACAACAAGATATGAAGAGTACCCAATGAAAATAGTTCTTGAGGTTATTAGGGTATGGTAACAATTAATTATAAGGTAGCTAGGGTTACTTTTTTGCTATTTCAACAGCTTATCTACAAGCGAGAGAGCAAATTCAATATATGTGCGCAATTCTGCTGTTCATTTGTGTTTCTATCTCTGTATCCATATATCTGACTCGATTACGATTCTAGATCAGATCGAGCGTATTATAACCATCTTTTACTAAAAATGTGAACCCAACTACCATACATATATCCATATATGTCTCCTATATAGTCCTAGCGATTATTAATTACTCAGTGTAATGGCATTTTATGGCACTTATATATAGTTAACTGGCGTGGATGCCAAATTTTGAACCATTTCTTCATATTCCTACAAACTATTGGATTATATATAGAACTTGACAAAGATAGGTGAGGCAAATACAAAACTTGGCAGAAACACTGGAAACACATACACCATTTCAAACCACGTCCTAGTTAACCTAATGTTTAGAGATGACTTATATTAGTGCCTTGCTCGTGATTAATTAAATGCTTACAAAATCGAATACCCAAATGATAGGAGATAAACCTCAATCCTTTTTTTTTTTTTTTTGTGTGTAAAACCTCAATCCCATTTTACTTAAGCAGCACACAATTGAGTTTGTGTAATGAGGGATTAATCATTGATCTTTCCCCCCTAAAAGCTTGATTAGAGAGAGAGGTGAGGTGGATCCAAAAGAAAGAAGCCTGTTTAGTTTTGGAATGAAGCCAAGCAACTTTCGTTGAAGTGAACCAAAAAGAAACACCTGTCACGTACCCATAGTGTAGTTGGAAAGAAAAAAAAACCCCTACACAAACAACCCAACCAGCTTCTTCTTCCCTTCTTTTCCTTCTTTTTTGGTTGCTTTTCCTTTCTAATTCTTAATTGGGGGAAGAAAAAAAAAACCTTCACATGACTAGCTAGCTAGCTAGCAAGAACACTACATATACGGATTCTATCGAAACGGTATTAGTTCGTTGTTCGTAAGTAGAAACATAACTTATATTTACGCTGAGAATACATATCGATAAACTAGTGCATGAAGTTTCGATGAGGATCCAGCTTCATTTCATGACCATCGTGCAACTATGTACGAAATTCGATCGTATAGATAATGCGTGCATTACTTTAATAACGCGCGAAGTTGTATGTAGCATCAGTTCAGACTTGACATCTTAGGCTGGAGGGAGGATTAAAGCAAACACGTTTTGGGGCGAGGGAGTGGGCAGTTTAGTTGGCAATTCTTGCTTTGAATCGTGCTCCACAGGCAGCGAGCAGCAAACGTTACACGTTCTACTTCTTTCTCATTGCTTTGTTATTATGCTATTATTATAATTGGTTTTGGTGATTACCTTCAATAATTACAACCATAGTTTGGCGTATGAATGTTCAGGGGAACGGTTACGGTGCTAATTGCACAATAGTTAGCACCGTCCTAACCAAGAGAAAAACTACTACTAGTTTGAATTAGTAGTGATTTAGCTTAGATGTTGTATTGATTTTATAATAATCCGTAGTGATTTCGTTATTTTTAGTAGTGTTGTATTGATTTTATAATAATCCGTAGTGATTTCGTTATTTTTAGTAGCGTTTTTTGCTAGTTATCACGATACTAACCCCTATAAGGATTAGCACCTAATCCCATTCCAATGGTCAGTGGTCGCCAAGAGACGAAGAGAGAGAGAGATCACAGCACTTGCTTACTGATGCAGCTTTGCTTAACTACATACCAACTAAAGAAGATTTTGTGTGTTTAAAGAAAAAAGTTCGTACAAAAAAAACTCATCTCTTTCGATTAACGTTGTATGTTAATGTTAGGTAATCTACTAAGTAACAACACCAAACCTTCTTTGAGCTGTCCCCCAAAGAAACGATCCG